CATTAGGGAAACTACTCCTGAAATCATGGTTGCACTATATGCTAACTAACTTGGATGTAAATTTTAAAAAAACAATAAATTAAACAAAATGGTAAAAAAAAAAAAAGAAAAAAGTTCTCCAAATGTGCTTTTTGACTTAATAAAATTTGGCATTTGTGATAATGAGGTGATATTGTTAGACATACCTGTCTGGTTGCTCCTGTTACTATAAGGAACCCTGTGTCTGGCCTCACCTCCAAAGACTGGCTATAAAAGGTGTGGAAGTTGCTAGGTCGTCCTGGAGAGGATTCTATCAAAGCAATCCATGAATGTGTCAAGCCAAACAAAAGAGATGTAAAGAATGGCTCAGACCGTGGCCATCTTGGGAAAGCTAAATGGTAGTAAGAACAGCTAACATCTAGTGAATCCTTACCACGCGCCAGCCATGTTTCTAAGCACTTTCCATGTTTTGTCTCCTTTGAACTTCATAGTAACCATATCGAAGGTTCATTATTATTATTTCACAGATGAGAAGAGTGAGGCTCAGGTTGAGCAAGTTGCCAAGAATTAGTAAGTGGCAGAGTTGGAATCCCAACGCTGTTTTGTCTCGTCAAGAGGTGAGCTGAAGGAGCAAAACACAATAATATAAAGGCAGCCAGGCTAGAAGTAAAAGCTATCAAAAGAATGGGGTGGGGCAGAGGGATGAAGCAGGTGAGATCAGGAGGCTCAGGAAATGAAGTTCACAAGCACTACACCTGTAGGAGCCATGGGTACTTTACCAGGGCAGGAGCAGTTCCGATGAAGCACTGTGCCAGGAAGGAGCTAAGGCAGAATCTAAAGTAATTCAGGGGCGCCTGGGTGGCTCAGTCTGTTAAGCATCTGACTTCCGCTCAGGTCATGACCTCAGGGTTTGTGAGTTCCAGCTCCAAGGTGCTAATGGTGCTAACAGCTCAGAGCCTGGAGCCTGCTTCGGATTCTGTGTTTCCCTCTCTGTCTGTCCCTCCCCCACTCATGTTCTCTTTCTCTCTCAAAAATAAACATAAACAATTTAAAGTAATTCAAAGTCATAGAACCAATATTACACAAGTATAGAGGCACATGCTCCAGTGTGGCATTACCATATTCCTTGCGTGAGAAGATGTTCCTCCTAGGTGTCACAATAACAAAAGACATTCTAGAAATTACATTTAGAGATACTTAGTATCTTGGGCTACATCTGAGAGGCCCTAAAACATAAAGAAATGTTTGAGGTGCCTGGGTGGCTCAGTTGGTTAAGCGTCCAACTCCGGCCCCGGTCATGATCTCACAGTTTGTGGGTTTGAGCCCCGCGTTGGGCCCTGTGCTAACAGCTCAGACAGAATCTGAGCCTGCCTCAGATTCTGTGTCTCCCTCTCTCTCTCTGCCCCTCCCTTGCTGGCACTCTGTCTCTCCCTCTCTCTCAAAAATAAATAAACATGAAAAGAAATTTTTTAAATAAAGAAATGCTTCTTCTCTGGTCCAACAACTACTGAATTGTTTTATTTTATAGTTCTACATGGTTGATACGCACCAGAAATGACTTTGTATAACCTATGCCTTTGCTGGCTAAGTTAACACAGAGAACATTCGTCTTGCTGAGTGTTCAATAGCATTTACTCATTTTATAGGAAGTTGTAAGTTTGCCCTCCAATAAGTTAGTGTCTAGCCTTACACAGTAGTCGAGCTCTTTTTAAAAAGTGTACAAATTAAAGTTTTTGGTAAACTATGTCTTAAATATCTGCTTAATTCAACTGATTGATTCTTTAGGAATATCAAAGAACATGCTGCCTCAATTTTTTTTAATGTTTCATATTCTAAGTCATCTTAGATAGGGAAAAATCTGTGTTGGCCTTTCTATTTTCAGCCCCACCATGGGGTTTGAGTCACCATGTTCCAGCCCCAATGAATTAGAGATAAGGGGAGAAAGGCACAAAAAAGGTTATCAGGAAACAGGGTTATCTTGTCTGTTTGCTCTGCTCCTCCCTGGCACCTTTCGGTGGTTGCTCTTGCCTGAGCATTCTCCTAGTTTCCATCTGCCTCCCACCCCCCAACCCACAACATGCTGTTGGAATGGAAACACAGAAGGCATTTGGCTGAGAGTTATTTGGAAAGGCCAAATCCAAACCACACTGGTGACCAGGTGCTTAGTGGCAGTCAAACTACATGTATGGCAAGAAGTGGGGCCGAGCAGGGGAATCTCCAAGACCACAGAGGATGAGGTGGGCACAAGGGACCAGGCATTAACTGTCAGAACAATCCAGCTGGGATAACAGGTGGTGTTGCAGGAGGTGGGGGCAGTACACAGCAGGGATTTGGGGAACAGAAGATCCCTGGAGATCCAGACGTGCACATCTCAGCAGTGGGTTGTCTGGCAGCTCAGAGCAGCCGCTTTGCACCATATGAAACAGTGGTGCATATGAAACTTTGGACCATATGAAACAGTGGGGTACTCAGCTTGGACAGGGACTTGTCTGAGAGGACCGTCCTGCCATCATCCATCCTGATCTGTGAGAAACTGGAGGTGCCCGACAGCTTGGTGGGAGAGTAATACCACATTTAGTCAGTTCAGCAAGTCGAAGATCAGGGGGCGCCTGGATGGCTCAGTCGGTTGAGCTTCTGACTTTGGCTCAGCTTGTGAGTTCGAGCCCCGCATCAGGCTCTGCGCTCACAGCTCAGAGCCTGGAGCCTGCTTCAGATTCTGTGTCTCCCTCTCTCTCTGCCCCTCCCCTGCTTGTGCTCTGTCTCTCTCTCAAAAATAAATACACATTAAAAAAAATATTAAGAGCAAGTCAAAGACCAGCAACTGAGTATGCTTATAATAATTAAAATGATTTTTTAAATACTTATTTTTGGGAGAGTGCAAGCAGGGGAGGAGCAGAGAGAGGGAGACGGAGGACCTGAACTGGGCTCTATGTTGACAGGCTGGAGGCAGTGAGCCCGATGTAGCCAGTGAGGTCTGTGACACTGAGCAGTATGGCTGTGCTGCGAATGGTGTCACCCAGAAAGAATGTTGCTCCCAAGTGGGTGACAGGTAGGGAATGGGTTATTGAGGGTCTCAGGTGTAATGAATGTCCTGATGGGTCCCATGAGACCAAAGATTAAAGAGGGTGTATCCCTTATGCATCATATAGCTTTAAGAATGCTGTAACTCAGGGATCTATAAAGCCCTAAGTCAAGCAGAAGGACAGGTGGAGGGAGAGGCAAGTGTGATAAATCTGAGAAGAGAGGCTGGTATTCAAAGCCAAGAGGCCAACGTGAGGCTAACAGTGGGCACCGAGCATGAAGCAGAGACGCTCTGGGAGTACATGCTATTCAGGAATGGATGGGGTGTGCATGCACACAGGGAGGCAGGTGGGGTGCACACCCAGGGAGGCAGGCTGACAAATATGTGACTTGGGGCCATGTTCAGGGGCTGGTTTCTTTGGAGCTGCCTAAGGAGGGATGTAAGATCAGGACCCTAAACACTTCCTCTAGACAAGTGGTTTTACAAGGCAGATAAAGACGCCAGTTAAAGGTAAATACAGACGTGGTTTTACTGCCACCTCCCTTAGCCTCCAGATCTGGTGGGCACAGGGGTGAGTACAGTTTACAGCTCTGGCCACTGCTGGCAAGGTGCAGAGCATGCTGGGAGCAGAGGGGTTTGCCATCCTGGCCTCCCTCAGGCCCCCAGGCAGCCTGGGTCCACCTCCCCCAGTCAGAGGAGGGTTACAGTGAGACAGCAAGGTACAGCAAGGTACAACAACCCAGGTGGAGTTCATGTTCGATTACCCCAGGCCACCAGAAAGAAAACCAGAGATCATCTCCTTTATGGAACTAACCAACTACAATTCTTGTGTTACTGAGCACAGCCAGGCGTCCTCGGCCTGGGTCACCATGAACGGGATGACCACATCTTCATCATTCAAACTAGACACTTTAAGGGAAAGGAGGCCTGTTACTCATGTTGGCGAAGCAGGTGTAAACTTGGACATCTCCAGAAAATTGAGGCCTATACCCACCCAATACATACACACTAAGCCAGTCTTGTCAATTTTATTATAAAAATCTAGTCATGCTCTTGAAGTCAAACACAAGATTGGAGTCTAACACGGGATTCACAGGTAAATTACAAGTTGCCTTGTTAAATTTTAATTTCAGATGAATGAATATATTTTTTGTTATGAATATGCCCCCAAATATTGCATGGTGCATATACTAAAATTATTCATTCTTTATTTGAAGCGAAAATCAAATTGGGTGTTCTGTATTTTTATTTGCTACTGACAACCCTGGTCTAAAGTTAAGCCACTGTATTATATGTTAATTCCACCTTATTGTTTATGTTCAAGGCCATCCTCTGGTTGCCAAAAGGAGAAAGTAGAGGGTACCATCCCAATTAACCCAGTTACCTGAGCTAATGCAATCAGTTTCCTTCAGTTTCTCTGGACTGCGAATAGGCTGCGACAAGGTCGTGGTACCTGGAGTGAGCTGGACGAGCAGGCACTCGGCTGGAAGACGAGAAGCTGAGTGGATAAGCATATTCTCCCTGCTTCCTGTTTGTTTTTGCCTGATCCAGGCTCAAGTACATTAGAATCACCTGGAGAGCTTTAAAAACCCACTGATGCTTGGGCCCCACTTCTGACCAATTAACTAAGAATCTATAGGGGTCAGGTCTGGCTTCCGTGGACTTCAAAAGCTCCCCAGGTGATTTTAATGTTCTAATGAGAACCATCATCCTATGCCCTCACTCTGGACCCCATGGCCTCCAGTTTTGCTTACTCAATTTCCCCCCTTTGAATACTGTCTCGATAGTATTGGCTATATTATAGTCCAGAAAACATGACTAAAACACACATTCCATGTCAGCATGGTGGCGTAGGAGGGCTTGACCAGAAGGGTTTCTTGACCATGTGGGACCTTGTCCCATGCTGACTCCTGGCTCCATCCAGGCCTCCCACCTGCTCCTGCCTCTCTTCAGCTTTGACATCCCCTCTCTCATTCTTATCTGCTCACAAACACATCAATTCCCAGTTTGCAGCTGGTCTCCCCTTCCGGCCCATCCAAGGGCTGGCCTCTTTGGCTTGGACCAAGGACCCCCTCTGAAGAACTGTCCCTGCAGGCCATGATGATGGCACTGGCTGCTGTCCAGGGCTCCACCCCTCCCTGGTTTCGCCTCTGGGTCGGGGGAGTTGGGGAGCAACCTTCAGCCTTTAGGCATAGAAAAAATCCAGACTTTGCATTTCCAGAATGGGGATTGGTAGACCCCTTGAGGGTGGTGTGGAGTGAATTTCCTTCTGACAAGCTAGCTGGATAAGCAGTGGTTTGCTTTCCAAATGGGTAGCAGGAAGGGCCTGGCAGTGGCATACTGCCTAGGCATCGTTGAAAATTGACTCTCCTGCTCTCTCTGGAATTTGACCCAGTGAAGTCAAATGAGCTTTGGGCAATGACCAGCTCAGAGTTCTGAGCAAGATAGAGCAGGCAGGATAGAGCTTTGGATTATTTATTCTTTGAGTGCCTGCCATGTGCCAAATACTATGCTACGTGCATAGTGAATGGAATAGACATGGCCCCTGGAGCCCACCACTCTTACCATCTAGTTAGAAATAATTGAAAATACGAAAAACACAGAAGAAAACTGGGACAGAAATAGTGCAGCTGAAGAGGGTGAAATGCACAGTGATTTTCCAATGGAGCATTTCACCCAGGGGACAATCAACCCACCCTCACCATCTCCGAGGTGCAAGGCCACACACACTCACATTGCTTGACCAAACAACAGGCTAGTGCAAATGGAGCTATTTATCAAACCGAAATGTTTACACAGCAACTATAAATTTGTTTAGGAAGAATCCGCCATTCACAACTGTCTACTGAACAGATGCTCGAGAGCATTCGTCTGTCACTGCCAGCATTTCTCAGTCAAGAGGAGGGAGCGGGTTTGAACGTCCACAGCTCCTGGAACTTCACACGCTCAGGCTCAGTCTTCGTCTGTGCCCAGAGGCTGCAGCTCCTCTCCCCAGCTCCCTTCACGAGGAACAATAATGATTTTAGAGGCATAATAAGGAGGGTTTGCACTGAATTATTAAACAATGGGGATTGAAGATGCGTTTTCTTTGACCTCCTTACCTCAGGCTTTTACCAGCCAGGGTTTTCTGGTACAGAGGCAAAGATATCCACAACACTGATGCAGATTATGTTCTCCTTCTTACAATATTTTCCATATTCATTTAAAACCCTTGCATTTTAAAACCCCTTTTGATAAACTTTAAAACATCACATGCCCTCCTCTCATTTTCTGAAATTCAACGTAAATATCAAGGGGAACAAAGGCACCAGAACAAAGCACTGCTTTGTTTTCAGACCAAGCCCCCTCCAGATTCCGGTGGGCAGCACATGGGAGTCTGAGCTCCCTCCCCCCACCTTCGGTTCCTAAGAATCATTGTTCTAAATGGTAATATTAACACTGTCCGTCTTCATTTGTGGGTAGCATCCCATTAACATGTTCGGTTGTACGTTTTCTCTGTGACATAAAATGATGACGCCGGCTTTAAACAAACAAATGAGAATGTGTACAACCAAATGAGCCTTGTGTTTTTGAAATGGCCGCTGGGGAGGTCAACATAAGTTTCCAGGGCTAATGGCATTGCCCTGAAGTATTTTGGAGGGCTCACTTAAGTGCAGCACAGGGCAAGAAGCAGGAGCTTTGGGGGCAGGTGGCCTGGCAGCAAATCAAGTTCTGCCACTATTGAACCTCGACCTTGATCTAGTGGCTTAACCTCTCTCTGAGCCTCAGTTTTCTCATTGGTAAAATGGGAAAAAAGGAAACAAAAAATGTGTGTAGCCCGGTCAGCAATTATTAATTTCATTTTATCACTAATGACATGTTCTTTGGAATTGCATTAAGAGATATTTGACAAGGATTTTTTTGGAAACTTCCAAGTCTTTAAAGTCCAGTTAGAAGAATAAAAAATAGAGGCGGCTGGGTGACTCCTGATTTTGGCTCAGATCATGATCTCACAGTGGTGAGATGGAGCCCTGCACTGGGTGTGGAGCCTGCTTAAGATTCTCTCTCTCCCTCTTCCTCTGCCCCTCCCCCACTCACATGCATGTTCTCCCCACTCCCCTGCCCCCCCCCCATCGTCCCACTTCTCTTAAAAAAAAAGGAAGAAGAAGAAGAAAAAGGAGTAACAAAGGGCTGGAAATTCTAGTTTGGGTGGGAAAAAAATATTTGCTGTTACAGTCAGGAGACTAAAATCGTATGTGGCTCATTAGGTGGCTCTGAAGTCAACTCCAAAAGATGTTTCCAAAATGTTTGGCAAGATGATATACTCTCCTTAGAATTGTGTACGGGCTCGCTGGGTGGCCGTTTAAAGTGGATACAACTCCTTTGAACGTTTAAGTTGTACTGTGTTAAAGAAATTTCTCTTTGGGGCGCCTGGGTGGCGCAGTCGGTTAAGCGTCCGACTTCAGCCAGGTCACGATCTCGCGGTCCGTGAGTTCGAGCCCCGCGTCGGGCTCTGGGCTGATGGCTCAGAGCCTGGAGCCTGTTTCTGATTCTGTGTCTCCCTCTCTCTCTGCCCCTCCCCCGTTCATGCTCTGTCTCTCTCTGTCCCAAAAAAATAAATAAACGTTAAAAAAAAAAAATTTAAAAAAAAAAAAGAAATTTCTCTTTGCTTTATTGTCACACCACATATGTGGACCCTGCAACAAAGCCTTGATTACTGCAAATATGCCTTGTCATTTCCTCTGTGTCCTGACATACATCTTCCTTTTTTTTTAACTGTGGTATGAAGCACTTAGAGGGTTTTCCCCCCTTTTAAATGTTCTCCCTTTAATTTCTGAAGCTTTGTAAGTGAAAAGGAAAATTAGACCCAATCCCCAGCCATCAAAAGCTACCGTCTTCATTGCACAGTTTCAGGAGGCTTTCAGGTTTCCATTTTCCTTGTCTCACCCCAGATGCCTGGCATACGAATAGCAGAAAAAACAAAATCTGTTGCATTTTTGGAATGTTATTAATGCGTAAGCAGCCCAGGGATTGCAACAGCTAAGATAGCCACACACACACACACACACACACACACACACACACACACACTTTTTTTTTTTTTTAAATCCCAAGAGCAAAGACCAAAATTGTGCCTGAAGAACTTTGGAAGAATCCCCCAAATGCACTGTAATCCACTAATTTCCCTCTGATTGCCACCGCACCACCACCCAATCTCTATTTCCTGATAGGAAAACCTCTTTAGGATTAGACAATGATATTACACAATAGCACTATAAATCCGATGGTTGTGTAGAATTGAAATGGAACAGCTGAACGCCACCCTTCCTCCCATTAGGAACATCAGAAAGGGAGTTAGTGAGGGGCAAAATCATCTGTTAGTGTCTCTGAGTGGATTTTAAAATTGTTTTCCCCAGGGTCTTCTAGGGTTTTTAAATATGAAGGTGTTCATCCAACTGAAAAAAAAAATGTCTATAAGCAATTCAACATTCAGCATGTCTGGCAATTCATGTTTTTTTTAAAGGATGAGAAAACGCAGCACCAAATGTGAGTATGTATGCCGTGTAGGGGAACTTCTGAACCCTTCACTGTTGTCTTGAAGCTTTTAGGGTGGAAGCTTTCGAGGATGTCAGATTGTAAAAACCATTCTCCCATTTCTGGAACTTGAGGACATCTCTCTGAGCATAACAAACGTGAGATCACAAATAAAGGTGCTTTGGGGCATCCGGGTGGCTCAGTCAGATAAGCATCTGACTTCGGCTCAGGTCATGATCTCACAGTTCATGAGTTCGAGTCCCACATCGGCCTCACTGCTGTCAGTTCAGAGCCCGCTTTGGATTCTCTGGTTCCCTCCCTCTGCCCTTCCCCTGCTTATGCTCACTCTCTCTCTCTCTTTCAAATAAATAAACAGCAATAACAACAACAGATACAGAAAGGAAGAAGGCTAGAGTTAGCTCTGTAGTGCTGGAGTGGAATTGAAGGTATCTATGTGAACTCCTTGTTTTTTATGTAAATAGATAAATGAAATTTACATGTATTTATGTGTGTATATGTAGATATATGCTTACATAGGCATACATATATCCAGACATACATCCCCACGTATCTATTCTATTCTATTCTGTTTTTCCATTTATCTGTATAATTTTCTAGCTCTATCTGCACAGTGCCTGGAAGTAAAACATCCAAGGATACCTGGAATCCACATCTTGACTTCTAAATATGTTTAGAAGATACCAGATCTGTTAAAAAGGAACCAGCACTTTTTCAAGAAATGATGGATTCCAGGGCATGGTAGGCTAAAAAATGGCCCACCAAATGATATCTGATCACATCTTAATCCCTGGAACCTATAAATGCTATCTTATTTGGAAAAAGGATGTTTGCAGATATGATTGAGTTTCTCTCCAAAATGAGATTATCCCATATTATCTGGGCAGGAGAGAGGCAGAAAGAGATTACAGGCAGAAGAGGAGGAAAGAATGTCACCAAAGAGGTGGACAGTGGAGTGATGTGACCACAAGTCCAGGTATGC